ATATCACTTTTATTTAACCAAGCCTGTATCCACTCACTTTACAATGGATACAGACAAGGCATGATACACCCTCCCCGCCTAACCTTATCCCAGATCTACACGAGATGCTGACAGCTACCCTCCCAGAATCTCCCTCCTCCTCCCCCTTACAACGATGACAGTCCTTTGAACATGGAACCCAGCACGCCAAAATATACTCCATATTCCGATACTTCTCCTACGAGCATCACGGTTTCGCGTACATTTCAGCGTTTAGAGCTGGATCCCCGCGACACGATCTACCCTTCCTCTCCCTCCTCGCCAGCTCTGGCGAAGAGAGTCGGGCGCTGGTGTTGTGGCTTATTTCTTGGGTTTGTGATTGTGGTGGTGCTTTTTCACGTGTGGATTTTTTTGGCGTTTCAGAGCTGGCGGTTTTAATACCTGTGCTGTAGCCTGTCGGGATGTTGTGTATATAGGAATATGGTATGGTTTGGTTAAGGACTCCAAGGTATTAATGGAAGAAGTCCCTGATGGCCGAGGTCTCGCGGGCAACCGACCGTTCAGTATCTATGACATGTCCTTTTTCATTATCACTTCCCACGGCAGGAACTGCTCAACATCATTGAAAAAGCTCGCATGTTCAACTGTCGACAACATCTTGTATGCGTCGTGTTCTGCTGGTTTGAGACTCCGCTCAGTCGATAGCGGATCAGCGGTCGCAAATCGTATGAATTATTTACCAGTGGAGAAGTTCGGCAATTCGGGCTGCTTGGTATATCACAGAAGATCCATCTCGACTCTTTAGCCAATTACGTACTCTGTATTTATCTAAAAAATTGTCACTGTACATTGTAGTGGCAGGTTTGGAGAATTTCAGTCATCCCTAGGACAGGTGTGACTGAATTGTTGCCGATATCTGATAGGTGGCTGGGATGATCGATAAGGTGCTCACATTGACCATGGTTAAATGGTCCTTTGATAGTGCGATGACGGCAATTGGTCCAGTCCTAGAGCTGTCTTGTCTTGCCAGCCGAGCTCAGCTCCAATAGGTGAAAACGCCATGAATTGTAGCCGAACTGAAATAGTAGGTATCATCAGATTCTTTAATTTAAACTGAAGGAAGACAAGCTGTCAATGATTAACGTCATATGCCCCATCGAAAATTTCTTTCAGTGGGGTTGCTGTGAGCAAGGAACAATACTCCGCTCCAGAAACTTCGACTGGCGGGAGGGAATAAGAGAGTAACCTTCGCGCCCCTCAAAGGTTGCAACCATCACCGCGCTTTCAATTATCAACCTGCGTCGCAATTAGAGAGGTGTGATCTTTCAAGAGAGCATCACGCTCATCTCGTGTTGCGTTTACTGACATTGACCAGGCGTCAGAGGCTATGTCTTTGGTGCAGCATGTCTCTGCAATTGACGGCGTGGACCGCGAAATAGAACCAGACCTTCGTGACGATGAGACCATCACCACCTACAATGATGAATCCTTGGTGCCGATCCGACGCAAAATTAGCTACGATGTTCTTCATGAGCGCCAAGAACCGGTGACAGATGACAAGTCAGGCACTCCGGCGTACGAGGTCTCGACTGCGGTTAGACTTGGTATGCAAATCCGTCATTTTTGCTTTTCTTCCTTTCGTCGCTTGAGGATGGGACGCTGACCTAAATTAGTCCAGGTCACCATCACGATCCTCGCTTGTTGGTTCGCGTCTGGAATTGTGTTCGGCTTCGCTGCTCTGAAGCCTGTCCTGATCGACAAAGGCGTCTACCGCGACCTTTGCACGGAAGAGGAATTGCGCGAGGGTGTAGAGGTTTGTTTTGAGCAAGATCTTCGGTATGTTCTTTTTACCCGATTATCTATTTTCTTCCTTGGCTGGATACTAACCCTTCAGGCTGAATTTGTTCTTCACCATTGGCTCCATCACCGCCAATGTATCTGCTCTGGCGGTCGGGACCATCCTCGACCGATATGGTTCGCGCCTCTGTGGCTTCATCGGGTCTGCTCTGCTTACCGCTGGCAGCTTGTTGATGGCGCTTTCGTTTTCGCGACCGGATTTCGATGGGTATATCATTGCCAACTTCTTCCTAGCTCTTGGAGGGACATTCATCTTTGTGCCCTCGTTCCAGATCGCGAATGCCTTCCCCAAACATGCGGGGATCATCGTCGCTCTGGTTACTGGCGCATTTGATGCGTCTGCTGCGGTGTATTTATTCTACCGGATTCTCTATGAAAGCAACCCTGAGATTTTCACACCGCAGAGGTTTTTCCTAGCCTACGTGGCTGTTCCGGTCTTCCTGCTAGTTGCCTTAATTACGATCATGCCTGCGCAAGATTATCAGTCACCGCATCAGCTGGAAGTCAAGATGGAGCACGCCAAGGATCCTACGCGGGATATCCACGAGTCAGACCAGGAGATTGAAAGCGACTCGGAGCTGCGACGGGTGCGAAGCCAACGAGCCGAAGAGCGCATGGACGATATGCGCATGATCGACCAAGTCCTGGGTGATGCTGACGAAAGAAGACATCGCGAGGAACAAGAAGCGGAGCGCCATGCGACCAGTGTAGTCTGGGGTGTCCTCCATGGCTTGCCTGCACGCAAGCAGATGGCCACGCCATGGTTTATTCTGATCACCTTGATGACTGTCCTGCAGATGCTGCGGATGAACTACTTCATCGCAACCATTCGGGCCCAGTACGAGTTTATGCTGGCTTCCGACACGCTGGCTGAACAGATCAATGATTTCTTCGATGTCGCCTTACCAGTGGGTGGTATCCTTGCCACCCCGTTCATCGGGCTGCTCTTGGATCATTTGAGCGTTCCGAACATGTTGACGATCATTGTCATTCTGACAACGCTCATTGGAGCCCTGAACTCGGTGCCAGCAGCTTGGGCCGGTTACACCACCGTGACGTTGTTCGTCCTGCTGCGCCCTCTGTACTATTCAGCCATGTCGTAAGTTTTGCTTTTTCGTCCCGTGTATATTTTCGTGGGCTGACCTCGGCTAGGGACTACGCCACCAAGGTGTTCGGCTTTGCAACATTTGGGCGCGTGTACGGGACCATTATTTGCGTGTCCGGCTTGGTGAACTTCAGTCAATACGCGCTGGACGCGTTGACACACGGACCGTTTGACGGCAACCCAATCCCTATCAACATCTTCCTGGCAGCCGCTGGGTTCGTGATAGGTACGGTACTTGTTTCGTATGTGCAGATTGCCGGGAAGCGCTTGAAGGAGAAGAGACTGGCCTTGGAGGGGGAGGAAGAGCGAGAACGATTAATTCCGATTGAAGAGGAGGATGTTTGACCTTTCTCGCAGGTCTGCAATGATTAACTTTATTCTTATCTGCTCTGCGATAAAAGTCGTAATTGTTATTTGACGGATAGACTGTCATGCTGCCAATAGACCCTGGATGCCATACGACCTAGTTTTACCTAGGTCGGACATCTCCCTGGCCAGAGGCCACATGGCTTGAACCAGAACAACGATGATACTTAGTAGATATCCTAACAAGGTATCAACCAAACTCAAATCAAACTCAATTTCATAGCTATCTGACTTGCTCACCCATTCACAGCCCCTCTACACCATCTACGATGGACAAAGTGGCCAACCATTGGACAGTGGACACTCCTAAAACTCCCGGAGGGGGAGCCTACCTCGAAACTCAAATCGCAAAATCCGGGGTAAGCACCAGAACGGGTAGATATAGGCGCGATCCTGTCGGGCGGTTGCCTGATCTCGGTTGCCAGTAACAAGGTAGCCAACCAGCAGGGAAACTCTGAGCTTGTTTTACGAGGTTGCCAAGGGTGCGCCAAGTCTGCCCAGCAGGTAGTCTCTCAAGCAGCAGTCTGATCCGCTTTCATTCCTGTATATGTGATTGGTGGTGTATGGCTGTGGTGGATTGGTTAGTGGTGTGGGCTGCGACTAGCCTGGAGTCCTGGACCAAGACCACGATGACTCTGAAAAAAGACAAGGGAATCGTGTGCTGCTGGATAGTTGCATTTGCATGCATTGGGGGAGAATCTTGGCCAATAGAGGGTGCTTTGATCCTGGTATGGGTAATGGATTAAGGTTGATATCTAGAGGCTAGACCAGGGTTGTGCCTAGGTTATGGGTGAAAATGGACAGGGTCTCGAGATAGCTCGCTTGTCTAGGTATCTAAGCTACATAGCTACAAAGTAGACATAGAGAGGTAAAACCAGCCCCAAAAGCAGCCACAATTGGGCTTGAAATGTTGGCGCGGGTGAACGCGGGGTTCTTCACTGAAGTTGAACAGGCACTCTGGTAGTAGCTGAAGACACGTTGACTGCTTAGTGTGGAGACGGACATTAACTAGCAGAGTGGCGATTGGCATGGGAATGTCTACAAGTTACTCCGTAGTGTCTGGTTGATTGAGTCCGATACCTTATACTTGGATAGCGACCAGAGCTTTCCCACTCATCCATGGATACACACGATTCTATTCCCTGCATCCATCCAGACTTCTTTTTTTCTACTTTACTCAAACTATCATGCTCCAGCTGACCGTGTAACTTCCATCGCGAAACCTTAAACCGCGTGGCCCTGATCCCGCCAAGCTGCCAAGGGCCAGTGTTGATGTCAAGTGTCTCTCTTCCCCCGCATCCAGACCTCTCCGGATCGTCTTGGTGCGCCGCTCTCCACATACCCCAGCGAAAATGCTGGGGAGAAATTCTGATTTCCCCTACTTTATCTGGGGTGTACTTGCCAGCGACCGAGGTATTTTGCAAAACGGTGTCGGCTATTGCTCTGTTCTGCTTTGCGCTGTCGGTAGTTGTTCGAGTCTACACTCCACACGGACAATTAGGTCAGCTGACGCTGGCCAGCTCGCGGGTGCTTCAGATAGAGGGGCAATTGTCTAAAGCTAGCTATTTGACTGTCATAGGGTGTGTGCGATCTGCAACGTATATCTATCTGTGTCTGCCCCGCCGATCTGAGACTAAAATCAGCAATCCTGACTGACAGCTCAACCGCAATTGCAGAAACCAGACAAAACGCAATGTCACCTCCTACCAGCGAGAAGCCTGGCAGCGTGGAAAATGTCGAAGATGTCGGCCAGCGCGCTCTCGACGACATTGACTATGACGAGGAATACTCGTACGAAGAGCAGCGCAAGATCATCCATCGCATTGACCGGCGCCTGGTCACCATGACGGGTCTTGCATACTGCATCTCGCTGATGGACAGGACGAATCTCAGTATGGCTGCTGTGGCGGGGTAGGGGACCTTTGACTTCGTCAGATGCCTTGGATGATGTTAACTTGAGCAGTATGATCAAGGAGTTGGGTTTGCATAAAGGGACGAGATATGTATGTTGCGACGTCTCAATTTCAAGTACCTGATGCTGACTCAATAGTCCGTCATTGTGCTTATATTCTTCGTCCCCTATGTCATCTTCCAACCCGCCATGACGGTTATCACGAGAAAACTGGGTCCTACATTCTTTCTGGGAGCTATCGTCATTTCATGGGGCGCAATTCTGGTCGTATGTTTCCCATGTTCTGGTCAAGGGTCATCAGCCTAATCGCGAGACAGGGAATGGGCTTCACGAAAGATTGGAAGCAAATGGTTGTATGTCGTATGCTGCTTGGTATTCTGGAAGCAGGGTACTTTCCCGGCTGTGTGTACCTGCTTTCCAGTTGGTATGTAAGATGTAAGTGTCCCTTGGCCCCGGTTGGCCGGTGCTGCGTACTGACTTGATATAGACGACGTCCAAAAGCGCTTCTCGGTGTTCTATCTTATTGGATGTGTGGCCTCGGCCCTGGCGGGTATTCTCGCTTTTGGCTTGTCTCAAATGGCTGGTATCCAGGGCCTGGGAGGCTGGAGATGGATCTTCATCATGGAGGGAGTGGTAAGTTGACCCCGCAAAACCTAATGCCAGTACTGATGATATAGATCACCGGAGTTATTGGAGTCTTGACCCTTCTCCTGCTCGTCGACTTTCCCGATCGAGCACACAAATCCTGGCGATTCCTCACCGAAAAGGAGTGCGCCTTTATCGTCCGGCGCATCAACCGGGACCGGTCCGATGCTGATAATGAGCCCTTCACTCTAAGACGCTTCCTCACCCCCGCGCTCGACCCGAAGATTTGGGGCTTCGCAATGCTTTTCCTGTAAGTTTATTTCTGGTAGTGACCACTCCACCACTGACCACCGCAGCTGCACAACCACCGTCACCTACGCCATCGCATACTTCCTGCCCATCATCCTCCAACAAGGTATGGGCTACAGCGTCGGCGCCTCCCAATGCCTCGTCGCACCCCCCTTCGTCTTCGCCGGCATCGTCATGTTCGCCTCCGCCTGGGTCGGCGACAAGTACCGCGTGCGAGGCGTGCTCGTCGTCGTCAACTCCATCCTGTGTCTGATTGGCCTGCCCATCCTGGGTTTCCACTCGAACAACGCCGTCCGCTACTTTGGCGTCTTCCTCGCCACCGCCGGCGCCAACTCCAACATCCCCGCCATCATGGCCTACCAGGCCAACAATGTCCGCGGCCAGTGGACCCGAGCGCTCTCCAGCGCGACGCTGGTCGGATTTGGTGGCATTGGTGGCATCGTCAGCAGTCTGGTCTTCCGGTCCCAGGATGCGCCGGGATATCGGCCAGGCATTTCGACGACTATCGGGTGCGTCTCCCTATCTTTTCCTCCCCACTGTTCTTCCCTGGTTAATACTAACTAATGCAGATGCAATGTTCTGATTCTGATTATCGTGGCGGCTATGAGTCTGTGGTTCCGCATCTGCAATAAGCAGGCGGATCGGGGGCAGCGGATTATCGAGGGGTCGGCTTCCTTCCGGTATACGATTTAAACGTCTAAATGGATTATATGATGACCTATCGTGGCTTTAGCTAGCTTTCACATAATGACGCAGTTTAATGAAACTGATCCTGTGCTCCACGAGCCAAGAAAGATAGCCAGCTGATATCACTCTATGTCTAAAATATTCATCACCCCACATAAAACAAGCCCTGTCAGCAGTCCTTACTTAGCTGCCTGGCCTGGTCATGCAACTGTTGTCATCACGCCCCAGGCTCCAGCTCTTAAGCTTATCATAGCCCAGCTTCTATAGCATAAGGAACTAAAAGATCATACCCCGCACTAACCACTATCTATCTATCTACCCAAACCTACCAAAGTTTGAGCGTAAGAACACACACAAACACAGCCATCACCTCAAACACTACACTAGCCAGCAGCCAGCTCGCAAGCGGAAGAATGCCCTGCACCACCTGTCCAACAATCCACCCCTGCAGGCGCTGCACCGGCACAGGGACCACCTCCGAGCCGTGCCCTTCCTGCTTCGGCAAACGCGGGTTCTTCGAGATGGAGGGCGGCGGCGACGAGGCACGCGGCGAGTTCCATGCGCCGTACATCTCGATGCAGTGTCGGAGTTGTGATGGCGAGGGGATTGCGTTTGAGCGGTGTAGGGAGTCTGTTGGGGTGGGGTATTTGAGGGGTTTATTGTGGGAGGTGTGAGGAGGGGTTTCGGAAGTATCCAATATCGGGGGAAGGATGAGGATGGGGATGGTGATAGGCTGGAGGAGACGGAGATGGATGAGAAGGGGACGAAGATGGGAGAGTTTGATGGGGAGGGTGAATTGAATGAGAAGCAGATTAAGGATATGAATTTGTAGTACATTCACGACCTACTACTTGTGCTTTCTTGATCGCGCTGAATATACCACGGCTTCTTTAGACCTATCAACTTGTTACATCATAGAGCAGCAACCACTCCGAAGACGCATGGTCGCTAATGGCCCTGATGATCTATTGGTCATCTGCTCCTCAGAGTGCCTCATTCAAAATCACTAATTGTGTGACAGTGATTACGATAGAATTCCACTTGCCTATACCTGCCCAGTGCTCTCGAATCTCTGGCAAGCACATTTCTCTCTCTGGCTTAGTACCCGGAGACAATCTTCCATCATGGACTACCATAAACCTCTCCACCTTCTTCATATGGCGGACGAGTCGCATTGGATCAATAAAGTGAACATGGCTCGCGTGGACGGACGTATCTGCACCGCTATTTTTATATATCTGGAAATCTATAAGCGTGTGCTGGCAGAAGAAGCGGCAAATATGACAGAAAACCAAGGGAAAGAACTCTCCGAACTCATCCAATGGTCCGAAGACTCAGGTGCCATGTGGCTCCGCATGCTTCTGTCGAGGGGCTTTTTTGATACGCCTAGCTTCCCTTGCCTGCAATTGCGGAAGCAATGAGGTGCTGAATGGTAGGATGAGCGCATGGATGAGTATAGGGATACAGAGGAAGTAAAAACATTTTTGACTAACACGCTGGATGATTTAGCTGCATATGATTAGGTCGAGGATAAGGTTGAATACTACAATGCCCTCATGGACAGCAAGGAGATAACAGAAGATTTTATTTACACCGTTTCCACTCTTCCCAGTCCTAGTTGAGAGGTGATTTCTTATGTCCAGGGTCATCAACACGTTGATCTCAAGGCCAATAGAATAGCATGTGACTTTGGAGGTTTAGTGGTGGTTGTATTATTTTGGTCTGCTTACAGCTTATAGATAACCTAAGGCATGAATGTCTAACGAAATATTATTCTTATTACTAGTCAAACAGACTGCTGCGCACTCTGGGTTCTAAGGCACGCCTTCACCAGCATAACTTATGAAATTTATTATCTGTTTATATTCCGCTTTTGGAATACCATTGCCTTTCATCATTCAGCTAATGCCCATTAATAGTGTCAAGATAATGAAACTTGATCCGAGGGACAGGCCATCAGCAGCGGAGTTGCTGCAAGATAAGTGGTTTGACTTCGGAGGAGATGGTTATCGCATTGACTACAGAACTAATATGTTGTCCCACATATAGGAACGATGCTGTGGTCCGAATTATTGATCCATTATTGGATGTCCCCGGTATTTCCCTATAAGAACTCCGCAGGAAAATCACCTCGGGGAAGTACCAAGAACGCCGGAGAAGCTGGATTGCTGGAGTAGCTGATGATTAGTCCATCTGCACGACAGGGTAGATCAAACGGAAGTCTGGAATTCTTCATGTTTAGCTCAATTTAAGTAAAAGTTTTAATCCTTGACATTCAACTTTCTTCATTGCAAACTGCTACCAGCAGTGGACCCTTGCTGGCGGTCATAAGTTTCCCGCGGAAAACTTCTTATCAGTCGCGTCGGCGGATATGATATCGACGGTGATTGGCCCGGTCCAGCGTTATCGGCGCTTTGGAGGACAAAAGTTTCCCGCCGTCGGTCGTCATCGTCCGCGGTCTTCTTGTCGGACACAATGAGCAGAACTAATAATTATGACGGCCAATCTCGTGCTGGTCAATTTTTCTTCTTCGGATGATTTCTTTTATTCCTTCTCTTCTTACCATCTCAACTCTTCCCCCAATCCATCCCTGTTCATGTGTTGAGCTGGCCGAGTCCTGAGACCGACCTCTGACGCCACACCTACTCTCCTCTCCTCTGGACAATCCGCCTCGGTCCATTGGACTTCTTCTATCTGCAGGCATGGCTGCATCCTGGTGCGCCGTCCGTGGCACTCGCCAGCTTGCCCTTCGTACGCGGTTGCGTACCTCTCCTGGCTCCATCTCCCTGCGAAAGGCCTATCCCTCGCCGGTATTGGCCACTCGCCGTTATCTCAACACTACAACACAAGCAACGCCAGCTTCGCGACGGGCAGTTTATACCAGCTCCGTAGCTGACCATGGCGACCCTCACCCCCGCGACCTCTTCCAACCCCTCGACACATTTCCCCGCCGTCACATTGGCCCCTCACCTGAGGCGGCCCAGGAGATGCTCGCCGCGCTGGACCCCCCTGTAGCATCTCTGGATGAGTTCGTCAAGCAGGTGCTTCCCGCCGATATTCTGTCCAAGAAAGACCTCACGGTCACCCCTCCCAGCGCCAACATCAACCTGCCCCGCTCCAGTGTACACGGTGGCTTGGGAGAGACGGATATGCTGAAGCTGCTTGAGACCTACCGCAAGCAGATTGACATCTCCGGCAAGACATACCTGGGAACCGGCTACTACCCCACCATTGTTCCTCCGGTTATCCTCCGCAACATTTTGGAGAACCCTGCCTGGTACACCAGCTACACTCCCTACCAACCTGAAATCAGTCAAGGCCGACTGGAGTCGCTTCTGAACTTCCAGACCTTGACCGCCGACCTGACCGGCTTGCCATTCGCCAATGCCTCCGTCTTGGATGAGGCTACCGCAGCTGCCGAGGCCATGACCATGTCTCTGGCCACCCTCCCCATGGCTAAGCAGAAGAAACCTGGCAAGTCGTATGTGGTGTCTGATCTATGCCACCCTCAGACCATTGCAGTCATGCAGTCTCGCGCCGAGGGATTCGGAATCAACCTGGTTGTTGGTGACATCATGGCGAACGACTTTGAGCTGGTGAAGAAGCAAGGTGACAATCTCATTGGTGTTCTCGCGCAATACCCCGATACCGAGGGTGGTGTGTACGATTTCCAGGCTCTGAGCGACAGCATCCATGCCGCTGGTGGTACCTTTAGCGTTGCTACCGATCTGCTCGCATTGACCCTCCTCAAGGCTCCGGGTGAGTTCGGTGCAGATATTGCGTTTGGTAACGCCCAGAGATTCGGTGTCCCCATGGGATTTGGTGGTCCTCACGCCGCTTTCTTTGCCTGCGCCGACAAGTACAAGCGTAAGGTTCCTGGACGTGTCGTCGGTGTGTCCAAGGACCGTCTGGGCAACCGGGCCTTGCGATTGGCTCTGCAGACCCGCGAGCAGCACATCCGTCGCGAGAAGGCCACCAGCAACATTTGCACGGCCCAGGCTCTGCTTGCCAACATGAGCGCCATGTATGCCGTTTACCACGGTCCGGTTGGCCTCAAGTCTATCGCCCAGCGTGTCATGGCCATGACCTCGACTCTGCAGGAGAAGCTGACTGCCATGGGTTACAACGTTCCGGTCAAGGGCGGCGTTGTTTTTGATACCCTGTCCGTCGAATTTGCCAGCAGCCAAGAGGCCGACGCCCTCATTGCAGCCGCTCGCGAGCAGAACATCTTCCTCCGCCGGGTGTCTTCCACCAAGGTCGGTATCTCTATTGATGAGACCGTTGGTCGCGAAGAGGTCAAGTCTCTGTTGCAGATGTTCTCCAAGCATGCCGGCAAGGGCGAGGTTGAACTCTCTGAAGAGATTGGCATCAAGTCCATCCCCCCTAACCTGGAACGGACCTCGCCCTACCTCACCCACCCCGTGTTCAACACGCACCATTCCGAAACCGAAATGTTGCGGTACATCCGCCACCTCGAGTCCAAGGATCTGTCTCTCGCTCACTCGATGATTCCTCTTGGCTCCTGCACGATGAAGCTCAACGCGACCACCGAGATGATCCCCGTCTCCTGGCCCGAGTTCTCCCAGATTCACCCCTTCATGCCCGCCGACACGGCCAAGGGCTACACGCAGATGATCGACGATCTTGAGCGGCAGCTTGCCGACATCACCGGCATGGCCGAGATCACCGTGCAACCCAACTCTGGTGCTCAAGGCGAGTTTGCTGGTCTGCGTGTCATCAAGAAGTACCTTGAAGCCAACGGAGGCGAGAAGCGCAATATCTGTCTGATCCCCGTCTCGGCCCACGGCACCAACCCCGCCAGTGCTGCTATGGCTGGTATGCGCGTGGTCACGATCAAGTGCGACACCAAGACCGGCAACTTGGATCTGGCCGACCTCAAGGCCAAATGCGAGAAGCACAAGGATGAACTTGCGGCCATCATGATCACCTACCCCAGCACCTTTGGCGTGTACGAGCCGGGTGTCAAGGAGGCCTGCGAGATTGTCCACCAGCACGGCGGACAGGTCTACATGGACGGTGCCAACATGAACGCGCAGATTGGTCTATGCTCTCCCGGTGAGATTGGTGCCGATGTGTGCCACCTGAATCTGCACAAGACCTTCTGCATCCCCCACGGCGGTGGTGGCCCCGGTGTGGGTCCCATTGGTGTTGCGGAGCACCTGCGTCCTTTCCTACCTTCGCACCCGGCCAGCGAGTACCTGCAATCCAAGCGTGGGGAGACCTCTTCGCCCCCAATCAGCGCTGCTCCTTGGGGTAGCGCCAGCATTCTTCCCATCACCTTCAACTACATCAACATGATGGGTGCCAAGGGTTTGACTCATGCCACCAAGATTACTCTCCTGAATGCAAACTACATCCTCTCCCGCCTCAAACCCCATTACCCCATTCTCTACACCAATGACAACGGCCGCTGCGCCCACGAGTTCATCCTCGATGTGCGCAAGTTCAAGGATACCTGCGGTATCGAGGCCATCGATATTGCCAAGCGTCTGCAAGACTACGGCTTCCACGCCCCGACCATGTCCTGGCCTGTGGCCAACACTCTCATGATTGAGCCCACCGAGTCGGAGAACAAGGCGGAGCTGGACCGGTTCTGTGATGCGCTCATTTCCATTCGCAAGGAGATTGCCGCCGTTGAGAGCGGCGAGCAGCCCCGTGAGGGTAACGTTCTCAAGAACTCCCCTCACACGCAGCGCGATCTGCTGTCCAGCGAGTGGAACCGTCCCTACTCGCGGGAGGCTGCGGCATATCCCCTTCCATATTTGGTGGAGAAGAAGTTCTGGCCCTCGGTGACCCGTGTAGATGATGGTACGTCTCCTTTTTTTTTTTTCTTTTATCAAAAGAACAAAGCTAATTTATGTATAGCATACGGTGATCAGAACCTGTTCTGCACCTGCGGCCCGATAGATGAGACGGATTAAATGATACCCATGTTTCAACATTCTTCTGATTCAGTTTTATTTCAACCTTTCTTCAACACTTGCCTTGGAGGCATTTACGGTGGCATGAGCAGCATGAAAAGATTCAACAAGTCATGATAGACATTGGGATGGCGTTTGATTTTGTTTAGAGTGACTGGCAGCAGCTATGGCAGCCGAAAATAGCGAGTTAATACCAGTTTGCACTGCTCAACGCAGTGTGCATTTCACTATATCATCAGAGTCTCCATTAGTCTTATCATAGTCAAGTTGGACTCCGTACTGCTGAATCCTTATCTTATCGGATCTTGCCACGATCACATGGTCTTGGCGCTGGGGTGGGTACCTGAGGCATCGGAGCTGGCCGCTCTCCGTCCACGAGGAACTTTTCTCTCGCCGCAATTGGCCGATAGTAATTGCCCATCTACCCCAGTATCCACCTGACTTGCTGCGGTCTGGGACCTGCGCCAGCTCTATTTAGATAGACCTCGACCCGTTGTCCTGGTGTTGAGCTTTGGGTCGGAATTTCTGCGTCTCTCTGGTTGTTGCAGCTGCATATATATTGGGTTGAAGTACCTATCACTAATAGTAAGATATGGCCACGAGTAGCTGAAGAATGCGCTAACAGGATCAGGACTTTCTTCCTGTCGCTGACAAGGATTGACGTACGGCTGTGACGTCTTCATTGATACCTGTACATGATCTCTGCGAGTACATAGCTTTCTACTGCGCTGCTATCTGGCAATGGCAACGGCAACGGCCCCTACATACACTTTGTTCCTCGGAACTTTTATCCATCTTCCCCGCAAACCGACTGGGGTGGATCCGGATGCGAAATGGCGACCCGAGCTTGAGATTAATCACGGCGCGTTATGGGTTTCGAATAGCGACGGGAAAATCGCGGGGTATGACTGGTTTTTCTCACCAGCTGACGGCAACGTGAAGGCGTTGGCGGAGAAGTTGGGGCTGAGCGGAAAGGTCACGGAAGTGGTTCGCGCAAGGGAGGACAGGAATGAGTTTTTCTTCCCCGGATTTATCGGTATGCCCCCTTCGTCCCCTAAGCATAGCCAATGGCATCAGGCAGAGGCTGACAAAACGGAAGATACACACATCCACGCCCCGCAATACCCCAACTCGGGCATCTTCGGCTCCTCGACCCTCCTCGACTGGCTCGAAACATACACCTTCCCCCTCGAATCCTCCTTCAGCGACACCTCCAAAGCCCGCGCCGTCTACTCGCGCGTCATCGCCCGCACGCTCGCCAACGGCACCACCTGCGCCTCCTACTTCGCCACCATCCACGTCCCCGCCACCAACCTCCTCGCCTCCCTCTGCCACGCCCGCGGCCAGCGCGCCCTCATCGGCCGCGTTTGCATGGACAACCCCTCCTTCTGTCCGGACTATTATCTCGACCCCTCGCCCGAAGCTTCCGTCACCAAATCCCAAGAAACAATCGCCCACATCCACTCCATCGACCCAGCCGGCACGCTTATCCACCCCATCCTCACCCCGCGCTTCGCGCCGACCTGCTCCGCGCCCGCCCTCCGCGGCCTCGCCCAGCTCGCAAACTCCTACAATCCCCCGCTCCACATCCAAACCCACCTCTCCGAGAATACAGGCGAGATATCTCTCGTCCGCGAGCTCTTCCCCCAGAGCAAGGACTACACATCTGTATACGACGACTTCGGGCTCCTCACGCCGCGCACGATCCTCGCGCATGCGGTGCATCTGTCCCCGTCTGAGCGGGAACTGATTGCGTCGCGGGGCGCCAAGGTATCGCATTGTCCCGCGTCGAATTCAGCGCTGGGGAGTGGGATTTGCGCTGTGAGGAAATTGCTAGAGGCGGGGGTGGAGGTTGGACTGGGCACGGATGTGAGTGGCGGGTATAATTGCAGTGTGCTCGAGGCGGTGCGGCAGGCGTGTCTTGTTTCGAGACTGTTGAGGCATAGTCATAATCATTCTCAGGAAGGTGGCAGTGATGGTGAGGAGGTGCTGAGTGTCGAGGAGGGGTTGTACCTTGGTACGCGGGGCGGCGCGGCGGTTGTGGATCTGGCCGGGGAGATCGGGGGCTTTGAGGTTGGGATGTCCTTTGATGCGCAGATGGTTCGGCTGGGTCATACTCATACGTCGTCCTCGGCGGCGGCTGAGCACGGGGTTGTAGACCTGTTTGGGTGGGAGTCGTGGACGGAGAAAGTGCATAAGTGGGTGTGGACGGGGGATGATCGGAACGTGAGGGCCGTTTGGGTTCGGGGGACGTTGGTTCACTCTTTGGATGAAGGACAATCGGATGTGAGCACATCGGGGAGAAAGAAGGCTACGTGGACCGGGACGGGCTGGGAGTCGAGGTGGTGGTTGTGTGGGTTGGGGTTTGTGAGCGCTTGGTTCGTTTTTGATAGAGTCATGCGGTAGCATGTCATATTTTACTGCAGAGCGAAGCGAAGCGTAGCATGTTGTAAATAATTCATTGTCAATACTAGCTACCAGATACCAGCCACCGCTTCTCATACTGTCACGATGCCATCTACTGGAACAGCTCAACGCAGTCGAAGATCTAGCAATGTTAGTCTAAAACACACAAAGTGGCGTCTGCACTCACAAAGTTGGGACTGAGGAACTGGTCTCCAGAGCTTCCAGAGACAACACTGATGGTAATCTGTGCCCGTCAGCTTGGTAGTTAAACTTGTAACATGATGACGACGTACCGTGTTGGTGCCCGCAACGATCGTGCCAGCCGGAATCGCAACATTATACACCTCGCCCAACCCCCTGTACGCGCCGCGGGTGACACCGCGCGAGTTGAGGTTCGTCGGCGCAGAGGGAGCCGGACCGGTAAACGAGTTGACCTGTCTCATTAGCTTGCGAAGAAAAAGCTAGCTGGGGCTCTGGAGGGCCGCCTACCTTGACTTGTGGTCGACCACCCGCAAAGGACAGGGTTGTGCCGATGCGCAGTGTAGCGGCGCCGGTCTGCGAGGACGACGCCGTGAACTTGATCGTGACGGGGTCATTGACCCCCTTGAAAATGGCCATGGGGAAGTCGGACAGCGCGGAGCTGCCGACGGTGTAGGTGAGCGGGCCCCAGCTGGCCATGCGCGAGTCGGACGGGTGCATTCTCAGCTGGTTTGCTGCGTTGCGGAAGCCAGTGGGTCTAGATCGTCAGTATCTCTCTATGGGTCAATATCTTTTGCTGAAGTGCGCTTACTGGCCGTCCCAATCGCCGATCTTGAAGATAGTCTTGCCGGTCGTCACGGACCCGGAGATGTTTTTGGTGGTTGTTGAGCCGGCCGACACGGAGACAGAGGTCGAGGCGACCTTGTATTCCCCTTGGTAGTAGACCATGGTATAGGTTCCGGGCTTCATGGCGGGAGAGGTGAAGCTGCCGTCGGACGCCGTGTAGGTCCAGTACTGCGCCGCATCGTTGTACCTAAAGAATCAGTCATATCTGACATTAGTTTTAAGGTTCCCGGGCAGGGCAATACCAGTGGACAACCCATGCAAACGCGGAATTAGCACCCGATGCTTTTCCAGTCACCTTGCCTCGGGCATTGGCCGCGACATAGCCCGTAATGCCAAGGTTCGCAAAGAAAGACGTATCAATGCTGGTGCTGGGAGTGCCGCTGCGACTAAAGTACATCGAGTATGGGCCGTGCAGACCCATGCGGTACGATTCTGTCTGGACGTGGCCGGAGTTCTGGGCGCATTAGTGATTGCACGATTCCGGACAGACAAACACCTACCATGTACCAATAGAGGGAGTTGTAGTCGCCTCCGTTGTTGGAGTTGATATCTCTGTTGAAATCAGTGGCGACTCGGTTATAGGAACAGAAAAATCATACCGGTGGAAAGGACCGCCGGAAGAAGATTCGTACTGGTTGAGGATCATGCAAACGCGATACGCGCTGCCAGAGACGCCTATGTCTGTTAGCCTAGATTCCAGGAAAGTAGATGCTACCCACAGTGTCTCTGGTCGTCGATGAATCGCTGACTGGAGTAGAACTTGCTGCGCGTCTGTCCATTGACCAGGAACTATGGCTGTCAGTACGAGAGTATGCTGCGGATATGACCAACTTACCACATCCGAGCCCTCAATGGCGGTACCGCCAGCGGTGTTTGAGACTTGACCAAATGGCTCCTCGTTGGGAAGGAGGTTGTTGTTGAGACGGGCAATGAACCGCAGCTCACCAATAGAAGGTTCTGGATGGTCAGCAGAGATCCTGAAGCATGGTCAGAGGACTAACCCGCAGTAATGTAGGTGGCCATATGAATGATTGGGTCTCCATTGTGCACAACGAAGTATTGGGTCAAGGTACTCGTCGAGCAGGTAACCTTGATATAATCGCCTAGAGAAGTCAGCCCAATACTGTCATGCTCAGGCAGTCGGACACACCATTCTGAGTGGCAGAGACGGTTGCAGATCCGAGCCCTGACCCTATGTGACTGCCTGTGCCTTGATACTGCAGCTCAGAGCCGTAAAAGTTGATCGATGTGATGTCGCAGTTCGACCGGCTGACCGTAAACTTCAACGGATTCGCCGAGTTGGCATCGATGACATAGGAGCTGCTGGTCGTGGTGATGCCAAAGGCCGCATTGGCAACCTGAGCCCAGAAGGGAAGGGACAAGAAAAGCACAGCTTTCGACAGCATTGTGAACCGCTCTGGGAGGTGGCGTTCTGAGCTGATGTTTGTTTTTGTGGGTCTGCAGAAGTGCAGATGCTTATATATCACCAGATGCCATTCTTCAGGATGTACAGCCTCAGACACGGAGGGATCTTCATCTCCATCACATTTTCCCCTCCTGGCAATTTGACGGGTTCCACCAATCTCAGGAGGTGGATAATTGCGCAACATGAGCACGGCATCCTCATCTATCAAGGCTGGCGCTAAAGAAGGAGTGCATGACTGTATATTAATTGGGCCCACAATATGTACCGATGCATGCGGAGAAGCCTGCGCGAATGCCACGAAATAGATAATTACCACGCGGTAGGTTTCTCCGGGGAAAGGTTGCCAAGTATCATAGTCTCAGCAGGATGCTCCTTTATACCGGCCAATTTCTTCACACGGTTTCAGTGATTTTGAGAGATATTACTGCGTACACTAGCTTCATTCCTCCTCGATAGCTTGCACGCATGCAACCCTCGTAGAGAATCCAACATCGACCTCGTCATGCTGCCGGAGTGGTTCTGGTTCATCCGGATGATGTCTTCGGATCACATCGCCGGGTCTAAAAGGGACGATCACCAGGCGGGGTTTGGCAGGACCATTGTCAATCCGTTACCCCATATTGCAAGCCAGATTCGGTCTCTTTTATCGCGAGAATTCAAGTCCTTGTCTTTCAGCCATGGTTTTGAATCAATCGAACTTTTGCCGTTAGGGATCCCAACTGGGTTTCGTCAGGCTTTGGCGCCATAGACACCAAGTCAGGTGCACCCGGATTTTTTCCGTCCTGAGCTTCTACAAGGGGAGAGGCTTTTCAGTAATTTCCATTTCCATCAATCAATCAACCGCTCATTGCATCCTCGCATTGTATCATCCCGAGTCTGGTAGAGGTGTTGCGATCGGCCAACCCAGTCAGATTTCATCCTATGCCTTTCAATTCATGCATATCCCTCGTAACCGTAGTGTCATCCAAATGCGCAGAAAGGAGCTGTTACACCTGAGACTGCCAAGATGATCGAATGTGCCGAGTTGGGAAATGAAACTCCTGGTGGGCTTGGTGCCAGTCTTCACCGGAATCAGTCCGGAAGTCCCAGCCGCCCAGCCGAAGGACTCCTGGAATATGAAGATTGAGGAACATTTCTGCTCATTAATGCGTGAGGTAGAATTCTAGACCATGTTCTTGCTAGGTTGCTTGTCTCACTCATCGTTGCTGACAGATCAGTTCGAATAGCCAAGAGATCAGGATCCAGGAACAGCATAACAATTCGGAACATCCTCGGAGGTTTCAGCCCAAGTTGTTGTTCACAGCTCACTCATGCTAGTATGATTTCCTGTTTAGGAGTTGAAGGGCAGATGGATGTCTGTATTTGTACTGAAATAACCTGTTACACTTGATCTGCAGCTGAGATGTTTCCAACTTTGTCCTTCCGTGCTTTGAAGCGTTCGTTGGAGACTCATGTAGGCATTCCTCATCGATATGTTAACGCCATGTTTGTCGCGTCCTGTCCTCATTCAGAGGCGATTGCATTTCAACGCAAGTTTGAGGACTGCCATTTGTCAAGTACAATCGCTACAACAGAGTAATGGGTTGCCATTCAGGTTCTCCAAGCCAACACTGACTAATATGCTCAGCGTGCAAAGACACAATTTCCATGAGTTAGAGTCAGAGCATGCCTATCTGATGCAGGCTATCGCTGGCATTCTAGCAGTAAGGTCATGAACTTGGGAACTATGGCGCTTCAAAGTCTTCTTCATGAAACAAACATGAACAGCTTTTTCAGTCAAACTGCGTCGTATACGAGATCGCATGATGAAGCGCAAACAATATGTCACAGAATCTGTTCATTGTCCTTCCTCAAGCCTCGAGAGGGTGACCGGTTCTGTTAATCGTCCCGGGCGAAGGACCACATTCACTCTTACTTCTTATTAACTCGGTAAAACATGACGCTGTTCGCGACTAAAATGGGTTGTCATTGTCTGTATGCATCCCAAATTAGCAATTCCATATCTGTGCGCTGTGTGTGGCTCTGTACAAATAGAGCATCCTCAACCTGAAGCTATTGTTCGGAGATATGGATCATATTGTTCTAGAAGGGCTCAGCCGCCCCTGAAGTAGATAACCATGTGGCTACGTTTGACTCGCTAATGCATCATTTGATTTTAGTGTCAATCAATTGGTGAAGTTTTGGAGTCCCAAGTCCGCCAAAAGTGGCTTCATTCCGATCGGTGGCTGGACCCTCATGGACGGTTGAATGGTTGATATTATCGCTGCTTTCGGTAATCTGTTGTGCGACACAACTGAGTCGTACTGCACGCGATATCCCCTGTCTCGGTGACAGCGACGGTTGTGAATTCCCATCGCTTGCTCAGGACTGGCGACTACAATTGCAAAATGACTACATTAACTTCGGAGACTCCTCCTCGAGGGCCTGACGGGTATATATGTCTGCCAGCTCCAGCTTATCGGTCATTGACCCGATATCTCAACTCACCAGGCAGATCTTGCTCAAGCCTCCTTGGTTTTATCTCACATGGACTTGGACATTGAGTTGATCCTCGTGTTAGACTTTCTGATGAAGCTCTATCCATCATGGCTCGCTGCAATGAGTCTTGCCCTACTCTTCGACCCTGTCACAGGCATAGGACTACCAGCATCTACACTAGAAAGAGACCTGCGACTCGCCGCTGGGTTGGGCTTGGATTCTCATCTCGCATTGAATGACCCTGAAGCTTTCCGTTCTATGATATTCGATTCTGCAGATTCCACGATTGCGGCAGAATATACAGAGGTGAGTCCACACCTGACAAGTAATCGATTTGTTCTGACTCGTGCAGATTCCCATTGACCACGAGGATCCTTGGCTTGGCACCTATCGAAACAGGTTTTGGGTCAATGAAGAGTTCTATGTCCCTGAAAGCCCGATCATGGTCTATGACATTGGAGAGGCTACTGCTGAATATTCGGTTTCTTTGTTGGCAAATTCCTCATCCTGGCTTAGTCTGCTGTTGCACGAGTTTCGCGCCATGGGAGTTGTGTGGGAGCACAGGTAGGCCCGCCAGATGCCTTGGAAGTATGAGATATGTACTGATGTCGCGAAGGTATTATGGAGACTCCCTTCCATTCCCCGTCAGCCAGGATATGCCCGTGGAGCACATGAAGTATCTCACCACCAAGCAAGCCCTGGCCGATATCCCATATTTTGCTGCAAATTTCAGCCGGACGAGTCATCCCGACATCGATCTGACACCCAGAGGAACTCCTTGGGTTATGATCGGTGGATCCTATCCTGGTATCCGTGCCGCGTTCACTCGCAACAAATATCCCGATACCATATTTGCAGCCTATGCATCGTCCGCTCCCGTCCAGGCTCAAATAGATATGAGCGTGTACTATGAGCAGATTTACCGTGCTATGGTGGCCAACGGGTACAGTAACTGTACGAAAGACATTCAGGCTGCTCTCAAGTACATCGATGACCAGTTGTCCAACGAAGAGACGTCCGCGTCGATCAAACGGCTGTTTCTTGGACCCGACGCGGAGAAGAACAGCAATGGAGACTTCACCACGGCTTTGGGCGCTCTTTACGGACCCTTTCAGGCTCACAGTATTGGGAGCGGTAATCAAAGCTTGCACAATTTCTGCAACTACCTCGAGCTGGACCCAGCGACAAACCAGTCGGCAGGGTCGGAAGGTCTTGCCCCGATCCGCGGCAGCAAATACGTCGCAGAGCGCTGGGCGTCCTTTCCTTATTTCATATCACTGGTCAACAGGATATACGGGACTAACTGCAACGGCCTTAATGCATCAGAGCCATTGTCGTGCGATTTCAGCCAACCCAACACCGTCCCTGAATTGATTAGCTGGACTTGGCAATACTGCACTGAATGGGGGTTTTTCCAGAGCAGCAACTTTGGCTCGCATGCGCTTCTTTCCTCGTATCAGACCCTGGAGTATCAGCAGGAACTTTGTTATCGCCAGTTCCCAAATGCCGTTCAGGTTGGACTCCTACCGCCACAACCACAGACGGAAAGCTTGAATGAAGAGTTCGGCGGCTGGACTATCCGACCGTCCAACGTGTACTTTAGCGGTGGACAGTTTGATCCCTGGAGGCCATTGTCGGTGTTATCTGACGAGAACTGGGCTCCACCGGGAGTCAATTTCACAACTGAAATACCGGCCTGTGGGGTCTCCACAGGCGAAGAGGCGGTATTTGGGTACATTATGGAGAACGCGGTGCACTGCCCCGACTTTCAGCTCACCCCGGACGCGGCAGTCTCCCGAGATTACTTTATCCAGGCCTTGAAACAATGGCTGCCATGTTTCAGGCAAAATCAGTCCGGCAGTCACAGTGATTATTGATGTCATTTGATTGTGGGGAGTGGTTAGCGTGGTTGATCCTTGCGTTGTAGCTAGCCTTTTTCATATATGCTTGCGACTTAGCCGAGACTAGACGGTGCATAACTTGAGCCTGACATGTTGCATCCTTTCTGTCTAACCATTTTCGTATGTGCTTGCGATGGATCGCTCATCTATTTGCATTTGGACCATTCACACGTTGAGTTTTCTGTGCCTCGTAGGTTCCATGGAATGCAAGGTTTGCAGCGATCCACTCACATGTGTCGGGTTACGAGTCTGCCTCTCCGCCGAAGCATCAACATATCTCCAGAATAGCGAGGTTGTCAAGATCACATACTGAGGGGTAGCCTGGAAACCTACATCGGCATGTGGTATAAATAGTCAGCGCTGCGGTCATGGATAACTTTGGTCACACCAGTCTGGACCATTTCTAATTCCAACACTCGGATAATTGGTATTGTCATACAAGTCACAAGTACAACCTCACCCAACCAGGGCACGACACCATGCTGGCCCCTGCTATTGCGCTATTCACCGCAGTATACACCACCTTCTTGGTCCTGCGCTATTTCCAGCAACTGTACAAGCACCGCAAACAGGCCCGATCTCTGCGCTGTCAGCCCCCCGTCGAAGGGGCAGCGGGCATCTTTGGCATCTCTGCGTTTCTACGACTGAAAAAAGCCGTCAAGGAGAAGAGATGGATTGAGCTTATCGCCGAGCAGTACGAAAAGTACGGCAACACGTTTACGCAGTCTATCTTTGGACGACCGATGATAGCTACGATCGAGCCGGAGAATCTCAAGGCTCTGCTCGCGACCCAGTTCAATGATTTCGAGCTCGGGACGAGACACCAGGAGTTTTACCCGTTGCTTGGGGACGGCATTTTTACGCTGGATGGAGCGGGCTGGTCGCATGCGCGGGCGCTATTACGACCCCAGTTTACGAGGGATCAGGTGAGTGATTGTTTGCATCTCCTGGGACCGTGCTGACTCCTCAGGTTGCCGACCTGGACTTGATGGACGGCCACATCTCCAGACTGATCGACTTAGTCCCGAAAGACGGCTCGACATTCGATATTCAGCGGCTGTTCTTCCTCCTCACGATCGATTCAGCGACTCATTTCCTCTTCGGGGAATCGGTGGGCTCTCTGCAGGCTGGCACGGACACCGGCCTTCTGGGTAAATCGGCCGTCGGTAACGCGGAGGGCTTCGCAGAGGCGTTCAACTTGGCACAGGAGTATCTGGCTGCGAGGTCCCGAGCGGTCAACTTCTACTGGATGATCAACCCCAAGGAATTCCGCGACGCCAACAAGCGCGTCCATGAGGTCGTCGACCACTATGTTCAGCTCGCCCTCGAGTCGCGGCGGAATCCGGAGAAGAAGCAGCCTGGAGGCCGGTATATCTTTGCTGAGGCGTTGGCGGCCGAGAACGACAATCCAAAGGTGTTGCGAGACAACATGCTCAACATCCTGCTGGCGGGGCGCGATACAACCGCCAGCCTGCTCAGCTCGACCTTCTTCTATCTGGCTCGCCATCCGAACGTGTGGACCAAACTTCGTCAGGCCATTGTCGATGCGTTCGGCGATGCTGAGCACCCCAAGGACGAGATCACGCAGACCAAACTCAAGGATATTCCGTACTTGCGATATGTGCTGAACGAAGGTACGTCAACCCCCTAGACAGTTCAGAGTAGGAGTATTCTGACAACCGACCAGTTCTCCGGCTCCTGCCACCCGTCCCTGCCAACTTCCGCGTCGCCAACAAGGACACAACATTACCTCTCGGAGGTGGCCCGGACCAAAAGTCCCCCGTCTACGTCCGCAAGGGCACGATAGTCACCTACAGTGTATACGCCATGCATCGCCGGACAGACTTCTATGGCCCGGACGCGAACGAGTTCCGACCTGAACGCTGGGAAGAAAACGGCCGACGAGGATGGGATTATCTTCCCTTCAACGGAGGCCCCAGGATCTGCCTAGGCCGTGAGTGCTCCTTTCTTTCAAGAGGCTTTACTGCCGGCTAACATCTGCAGAACAATACGCACTCACCGAGGCCAGCTTTACGATTGTCAAATTACTCCAGCGGTTTGATCGGATTGAGAACGCGGAGCCGGACCTGATTGAGCCAGTTCAGCAGACGAATCTCACTCTGGCTCATGATAGAGGTGTATATATTAGACTGTACTCGTCGAAGGCACTTTGACAGTGATATACGAAGCATGACTGTTACGATTTGAATTATTTTTTGGCTTAAACAAATCTGAACGTACCTATTTACAAGATATGCCTAGTATACAGTTTACTACATAGCTGAACTGATGCTTATAATGGAGGTTTCTATCACAGAATACCAGACAAGTACATCCAAAAGAGGAAAGTGGTCCATGCGCCACATGTGGCTGGTGCGGTGGCGCGGATTATCTCCATGATTCGCCGAGTGAGATGGGCTGGATTTCCACCGTTGACACCATCGAATCACTTCAACTATTGGTAGAGTAGAACACACTCAGACCTTAGGAACACCTCACTGGAGCGCCATAATCTTTCGACGCATCTTCACCTTTCCCGGAAGCTTGTCTTATCAGGGAGATCGTGTGCCAGTCAAATCGACATCAAGTAACCGGGCTATCTGAATGCCGGCCTTTCGTCGGAACAAATAATCAGCTCCTCCTCTCACCGCTCCTTAAGCTCCATCTTGGGGGCGGCCGGTGTATACTCCCTTGCTGCAGTTCATTCTTGCGAGGAGTCTAGCAAATCCAGCTGACTCTGCATTCATCACCGTCTCACTGAGCGGTCAGTCAAGATGGCCTCTACTTCAAACCCCAGTTCACGACCGCCTGCGACAGGTGTCATTGTCCCTAAAATGGAGCATCCTCCTCAGGATACAAAACTCGCCGAGATTCCTGACAAAAACAATGCGAGCGGTGAAGCCTGGACCTCAGAGATGCAGTATGTGTCGTCGCTAGCCAAGTTGCAGAAGATGGAGGCCACGGTTGGTTTTCCCTCCCCTTGTGTTGATCGCATGTTCAAGCTGACAAGTGCAGATCCACCAACTACGGACTCTAGTCTCTGGGCGTCTCATGGAGCCGATAGTCCCCATCGTCAACCCCAAGGCGGCTGCGAGGAGGCCGCTGCCAAAGTCGCCGCGGGTGCTCTCTGAACAGCTCTCGCAGACGGCACGCGCGAGCGTTGCAGAGGTCCAGGAGTTCCAGGCGATGTGGCGGAGCCCTGAAATGAAAGCCATCTGGGACCATGTGGACGCTCGGATCAAGCAGAATGGGGGCCAGCTGCTGCAGCCGACGGGGATGTGGGAGCGGGACTATGATGTTCTTCTGGAGGAGCTTGAGAAAGAGGAGCGGGCGCAGAAGGAGCAGCAGCAGAGGGTTAAGGAGGAGGAGGAACGCGCGAAGATCCAAGCGGTCGAGGGAGGCTGGAGGACGATCGTGGAGACGTTTATCCGACGAAACTTACCAGGTGTTCGGGTAATGGCTCATCAGGACCAGGCCAGGATCACTATTGTTCTTGTCAAGGCCGGCATGGCATTCCAGCTGCAGGCGGTCAATGGAGATGGACATGACATGGCCGATTGGCGGGTTCAGGACATGGCGGCTCCGGGTAAACCGAAGACGAAGCTGGAAACGGCGGTGGCCGCTTGTCTGAATGCTTGTCCGCGGCAGTGGGATATTGCGTATCTACTGGTAAGTTTACAACACTGACACCAACACCAGATGCAGCGAGACAAGTCTAATCCTCAATTCAGGACATGATCGCCTCCTACTCCGACGTCAAACAGACCCCCTGTGTGAAATGCGGCAAAATGACCGACAACGCCGCGCAACTCCCCTCCATCCGCAGACCCAACCCCATCCAATCGTCCCAAGACCAACCAGTCGTCTGGGAAGCCTACCATCCCGCCTGCATTGATTCTCCCCCATCCTCCGGCCCTATCTTCAGTTAACCATGTACCCCATGCACAACATCATGCCAATACCCAGCCGGATACTCCACTCCCCTCCAATCCCAATACCGCCGCGGAATGACATGCACCCGCCTTCTTCTCCCATCCCCCTCCTCATCGCAATACTCAACCCCACACCACGTCCCATGATCCGGAACCACATACCTCCTCCGCCGGAAGTCGTACCGCTCACACGCCCCCCGCCTCGCCCACGGGAACGGCGTCTCGTCTCCCCCGGCGCAGCAGCACTCCTGCGGACACTCCCACCCGGACCAATTGATCCGTTGCTGATTCTGGCTCCGGCTGTTGATCTTCCCGACATATATATCCGGCCCGCGATTGGTCAGGACATCGAAGAGGCGCCACCGACGGGGCCAGCGCGAGGGGTTACCTGGCCGGGGATCTTTCGGCCAGATCCAGCCTAGTGTTGTGGAGGGCATTGCAGCGAGCTCGGCGAGCAGGGCTTAGGAAGGAGACAGCGAGACAAACGAGGAAAGGCAGCGAGCTGAGCTTGGAAACGAGAGAGGGCAGCGAGCTTAACAACAAAGCGAACTATTCAAGATCAAGGTCCAGACACGTAGGGAATTGATGATATGCACCGCACCTTCAGTTTTGCTTAGGATGAGATAGGAATGTGTATTGTACCTAACCTTAATCACCTATACTTATACCCATACCTCTGTACTGAGAATAAAGAATAAAATTTTCCATCGGGTGGGAATATAGGTTCATGAGACAAAGATCGCATTGCATGCGGCTGCATGGCTGTTCTTTACTATCGCGGTACTACCTTACTATCCTGCTTTGTATCAATTGGACAAGACAAGGGATGCGGCTCCGGATATGCAATTGCTTTCATTCATTTTTTATGCTCCTGAATGGTAAACGTGGTTGACTAATTGTGATATGTATGTCAATTTTTATGCTAATACAGCTCATTATAGACACCAGATGATTGAATAGATTGAATATACCAGTCCCCGCCACTTTAGATTATTGTAATGGCATATACACGGAGAAGAAAAATGAAAACGCCAGCCCAACCTTGCCGATACATCGCTATTGTCATGAAGGAAAAAAAAGTCGCTCACTCGGATGCAATATGTTGTTAGAAAACATACGATACGTTCATGAGGAATATCAAGTGGAAAAGACACCAAAGTCACCGGCGAACCAGGTGAAGGAGGCTATGGTGATCATGACCATGCCAAAGGCGAACTTGAGGGCTTGCCGCTCGATGTCGGAAAGGGCGCTGTTGCACGTGGCGCAGTTGAATTCTGTATTCGGGTCAGTATGCTTTGTCAAAGATGCGTGGGGAAAGAAGAGCATACCGTTGAGAGGAGTATAGGGTTGCGGACTGTACATGCCAAAAAGGTAACCGTTCTGCGAGCCAAGGTGGCCGGGACTTGCGGTGTCTCCAATGTCCTTGTCCACGTCGACCACGTACAACGTGTACGTTGCAGTCAGCAGTGGGGTCGTGGCATTCGCCTGGTACTTGCCCGTATCCCACACCACCTTTCCAGTCGCCTCGACGCTCATGTTGCTCGTGAGGGTATAGGTCGCGCTGTTCATGGTGCAGGTCGCAAGAACATTCACCGCAGACGGCGTCACCAATAGAGAGGTATAGTTCCAGGCAAAAGTCACATAGTCGCCGATCTTGTAGTAAGTTGAGGCACCCGCGGTGGGGATCATCATCGACGTTCCGCCCGCAGGGAGACGTGGATCGATCGAGGTCGACTTGGTAGAGGTCTTGGTCTTGCTGTTCTTGCCGGATTTGTCGGTGGCGGTCTCAGTGGTTGTTCCTGACTTCGTCTGTGTGCCGGTCTCTTTGGCCGTGCCAGTAGCGGTGTCTGTTCCACTGCTAGAGTCCGTCGAAGTCGAGTCATTTGTGGTCTTGCTTTCCGAGGCAGAGTCGGTCTTGCTCGCTTTAGAATCAGCCGTTGTTTGGTCGGACGCAGTTGGATCTGTCGAGTCAGCACTCGAACAAATGAGCAATCTGTTTTGCAAACTAACCAGCTCTGGCCGCAATCTCTCCATGTGCCGGGGTCAGCCCGTTCTCGGGCCATGGCCAAGCCGAGGAAATTGTTCCCAGCAAGAGGAGAAGGCTTAAAAACGAGAGAAAGTTGAGGGATTGCATTATGGATGATGCCTTCAGATCCTGAGGCTATCACGCAATACAGTGACCGAGTCCCTTGAAAAAACGTTGGGAGGGTGATGCTCCGGCTACCTCCTAACCGATCGATTTCTTCGCAAACGAGTGTCGACGATCCCGAGAGAGCGATTCAAAAGGTCGGCAAAACAGTCTGGACGTAAGATGGACAGGTAGAACAAATTTCTCCAAGTCAGCGGGTCAGTGAAACATGCAGATCGGGTGGTGTCGTATGCGGGTCGCACGGAGGGAAGGCTGAATGGCAGGTAAACAAAGCGAGTGACTGGTTAGAGAATCAACTCAACAGAATCACACCATGGGAAACTGTAGAGAGATGTGACCAAATTCAGGATACAAAAGACAAGCAGGGCTCCAAAAAGAAAAGTCAAGCTATGGAAAGGGTAAAAAGGATCTAGCGAGAAAAGAGGCCAGACGGGGGGTCCGATAGAAGCGACTAGAGAAGGGGATCTGGAGGCGGGCTAGCCTGTTTGGGCATAACTGAGACATGGGCTATTTTTAACTATCAGAATTATTCACACCATCACATGAAGGTCACCACAATTATCTTGATCAAAATATATGCATCTCTATCTCTTAATTGGCAGGCTGAAACAACTGGACTGCCATATTTTCCTCAGTGGTACCCTCCATATGTTGTCTTCATGGTCGCCAGGATTGCTACGAGAGAAACGACGCTTGATCAAACCATGGCGAATGGATCCATACTCAAAATCACAAACAAAAGTCCACTATTCCATGCAATCAAAGATATAGCAGCGATTGATTTAAACCACTGGCATCACAGCGGCGTTACAGGTAAATAAACATTAAAGAGCGTTTCTGTATGTGCGACGCATATCAATACATATCACTCTCGTCAGGTAAGGAGCGACTCATAACCTCCAAAACCCTCGAGTGATCCAAGAAATCATCACTCTCGCCACGCGCATCTCATTTCCGATGGCAGCATCTTCCGCTGGCCACTATCGGCACCCTCGGGTCTATTTACGAAGTATATTCGACCTGGAGTTTGACGGTGCTGCAAGAGGGGGGAAATTTGGGTTCGTAATAGCGGTAGATATAGAAGAGCTGGGGTGCGCCGTGGTACCAGTCGCACACTGGGATAAATTAGCCACATGCAGAGAGTTGTCGGGTACCTCAGATGGAAATGCTTACCCAGCCAACCGCCAAAGCCCTGTTGCTCCGACCACTGCAGGCCGGTGCTATCGATGAAGAATCCCTCCACGCCGTAACCGACGTTGATCTCGACGGGTTCCCATTCTGCGAACAAGTCAGTTCCAAATCGAAGACAATATAGTTGGGGGAGCAGGGAACTAACGAGCATAGTTGGTATCACCGATCGGATTGAAGCCCCAAGGGAACGGAGTCTTCAGGTCGAACTGCGTATAGGTGCCATTTAGGAAAGCCGTACTGGCAGTGTTCACATCGGACGTGAGAACAGCGTCATTGAATCCTGCACCGGTGTGGTATGCGTAGACGTATAGATCATTGTGTTTCTCGTTAGATGCGTCAGCGGTCTTAAGATGGAAGCGCTTGGTGGCGTCGGTGGCCTGGCGAGTTGTATGTAACATGGGGTTGGCCGCGACTGCGGAAACCAGCAGAGTGAGAGTAGAAAGGAGCTTCATCCTGATGGTTGCTGAACAAGAGATTGGATTATTTTGTTTAATGCTTTTCAGTGAAACCAGCACAAATGACAAAAGGTGGACAACAATGTGAGAGAATGGGTGACGGTGATGAGGATGGATGTGGCGATATCCCTTCCTTTATTTATGTTCTTGAACATATAGTATGCATCACCACTACTCCACTAAGTGGAACAGCACCGACTGCTTCAAACCAACATTGGTAATCAAGTCATCTCATCAACGATCAACGTCAAATATAGAAACTTCTGCAGACATTGCAGGAATGCTAGTTGTTAGCATGCTGTCCAGCAGGAACTAGTCTGTTCTTCTCAGGCAACACCATCACACCACATCGCCGCACAACCAAGAAATTCGAGGAAGAATGAGTCTCCACAGAGGAGTTGTTCAGCTCAGGCTAAAGTATGGAGACTTGGGACAAATTTGCCCGACGCAACGACAATCAATGGCCAGTGGGAACACGGCGAAGTTGCCAATGAACCAGCTAAGGTGTTTAGTTGAATAGCGTAGAGGAAGATCGTACCGCAGTGGATACTGGTTGCTGGGGGAAATAATGCTTCATGAAGGCGGGGATGGGCAAACCTGAGACATTGCCGACATCACCGTAAGTGCAAAGTACGGAGCGTGACTCAAGGTCTCTGTTCTTTTGTTGGCGACATATTGTGAACACATGTAACTGTAACATCTACGCTGCTGATGCTCGACTCAAGCCTGCTATTTTTTACACTTTGAGCTCCTACTCTCTGTAGTCCTCTATGCTGCACCAACTCAGTCACAAGGTGATCGACATTCCGATGCACGCTAACAGGAACAGGAGATGAGCATCCATCCAGACTTCGGAATCGTGCCGTCTCTGCCATATCCGGAATATTATGTTTTGTAGAACAGCATGCATAAAGATCACATCGACGGCAATACCAAGCATCTTCGGCTGCGAGTTGAAGTTTCACAGGCGCTAAGGATCATCCCTATTTGACTACCATCCTACATCCATGGGTCATGGTCATGAAGTTCATGGACTACCTCCTTGATGGGACCGACTGATATCATGATCATCCCGGTGGTCTCATTTGGTTCAGTCCCCCTGAAGTGACATCAGCTGACCTATTATTCACGCTTGATCGGGCAGTCTGAGAGGCCATGTTCCATAGCAAATGTCTCATATACATATGTGATGCATGCTTAGTGATGATTATGTTACTCTATCATTAGATCATTTGCGTACTCTAGGTATCTAAAATGAATAATTCAAACGCCATAATCCATGGTATTCCCTTTGCCTCCCAATCAAACCAAGTCGTCCGCGGCCCAAACCAATAACGCCTGTCTATGCTGTAACCCGTGAGCGACGAGATGTGCTAATTCACCTTGGCGAATTCGGGTTTCAGCGACCATCTTCCTCGCCCATTCCGTCCACCTTTTTCGAGCACGGCAATCGTTTTAAGCATTTCCTTAAACTCTGCCGATCGCTGGGGCGTGGTACAGTAACGGTTGAAGTGGTCGATTAGCATCTGTGTGTAAACGGCTCCGCCCTGTGACAAGATGTAGTCTCGAATCATCGTCATGAAATCCACGCCAGTGGGAGTCCTGGATGGGGCAGGGCTGTTCGTGGCGCTCCGGGACGACGGTGTCCGTGCGGAGAGGTTAGCCAGAATGCTCGCTGATGAGGGGCCGGCCGCCGTCCGCCGCGCAGTGCTACTTCGTCCGCCAAATGCTGAAGGGAGGGGTCTTTCTTCGGGCCTCCCTGCGACTCCAAATTGACCTGTCCAGGTTGGAGTCCCAATGGGAACAGATCGTGCTGCTTCACCAGCTCGCCGCAGCTCCTCGGCAGCCTCGGCAGCCACCCTCTTGGCCTCCGCCTCGATGATCTTTGGGTCCGCTCGTACTACCCGTTTGCCGTTGACGATCTGATCATGCTCCAAAGCCGAGTGTACTCCAGAGCGAGCAAAAATGCCTTCCATGATGCGTGATTCTGAATTAACGGCTCCGGTCCCTTTCTCCTGATCGCTGGGCTGTTCCGACTCGCCCTGATATTTCTCCATGAACGAAACACCCACTACTTTGCTGATGTCGTTCTTTTCTGCTTGCAGGTCAGACGAGGCGTCCTGGGCTTTGGTCGATTGTTGATTATTGCCGTCACCGTCTCCCTGGAATGTAACCTCAGCTTCTTGGAAGAGCTTGCTCGTCTCCGTGGCACCTGGCTTTTCGTCGCCGAGCGCGAATAGGTCATACAAATCGCTCAACTGAAAGGAGGTCTGGCGCTGTTTGGGGTCTCTGAGGATCTTATTGGTGAGGAATTGTTTGAAGATCTGTCGATGATATATCTTCTCCTCAATTGTTCCAGCGGTCATTAAGCGGTAGACGCTGACATCGCGCTTCTGACCAAGTCGCCATGCTCGCTCTCGGGCCTGCACATCTGTCGATGGATTCCAATCTGGGTCGTAGATGATGACCCTGTCCGCACCCGTAAGGTTCACTCCCAACCCTCCAACCTTTGTCGTGAGTAGAAAGACATGCAGATTCGGGTCATTATTAAACTCGTCAACCATGGTTTGCCGATTCTGTATGGGTGTGGTGCCGTCCATACGCCGATAGTTGAACCCAGACAGTGACTTGATGAACTTTTCAAGGATATCCAGCATGATTCGATGCTGGGCAAATAGCAGGGTTTTATGGCCGGTATCTCTCCACAACTCCAGTAGAGATTTGACAACCTGCATCTTGCCAGACTTGTTCGCATTTCCATAGCCCGGTTGATGCGATTGCAGTTTATGATTCTGTAAATCTGGGTGATTGCATATTTTGCGCAATATATCAATTCCATATAGAAGCTGCCTGCGCCCCTTGAGAATGGACTCCATTTCTTCGGATTTTAAAAATGATTCATAGGCCATCCTCTGCGGCTTGGTCAACTTGCAAAAGAGCACCTGCTCGGTCTTTTTGGGCAAATCCGCAGCCACATCGATCTTGAAGCGCTGCAGAAGATATGGGCTGATGGCATCCTTGAGCGTCTCTGCACACTTGGCCGCTGTCTGCACTTGGAGATTAGAAGCATTCGCATATCCGCCCTGTCTGATAGGGAATTCGAATTGGTTCCGAAAGTTGACTAACGTTCCCAGGCGCATTGGGAACACAAAGTCGAAAAGCGACCAAAGCTCGGTCAAGTTATTCTGCATGGGGGTACCCGAGAGGATGATCCTGTGCGGAGTCCTAAGCTCCTTGCAATGGATGGTGATAGAAGTGTTCGGGTTTCGAATCTTATGACCTTCATCAAGGATCGCACACCCCCATTCCACCGGGATCAGAAAATGAGAGTATGTTTGT